GGCAGAAGACATTTTAGAAAAAAGTTACTTCAACATTCAGGGTCGATCCAGCTGAAGTCTCAATTTAAAATGTTTGCTTCACGTTGTTTTAATTTACACAATAACAAAGAAAACAGATATCTGATGATTACTGAAAGCAAAGGGAAAGATTAAGATCAATGATTAGGAAAATAACTTTTGGCGAAAACCAAACAAGATGCTCACTTTTAGCAATGTTTCAGAAAAATGTTTTTGTACAACTTGATGTCAGAGGAGCAGCTGGATAGCAAGATGGTACTTAGCATCCAATACAACAGAGGAGAAAGTAAAAAAAAAGGGTTGCATTTGTATACTACAGAACCTAAAAATCAGAAGTTGCCTTGAAAAGGAAGGCCAGTTCAGGACATCTTGGAGAGAGGAGGGAAAACAAACAGTTCATAAAAGGAAGACTGTCAAAAATATCTCAAGAAAATCTCCAGGATAGATACTTAACTGGATAACTAAAGACAATATTAATTGGTGCTCTAATCCCCAGAAACAACAGATTGGGGTGGGAGATGCTGAAGACAACAAAATAGGAAAAAGAAAAAAAAAAAGAAGTACTATTAATAAAATGTGAGGAATTGAAACTCTGACTCGGCCTGTCAGCTACAATGGAGTAGCAGCATCACTATTCAAAAGCAATCACACGTAACTTAACCTGTATGGTATTTGGGTCAGTGCTGTTTGATTGTAACATTTCTACTTCACACTCATACTTAGTGATCACAGATTCATGCCATGAACACTTTCCAAAGCTGTGTCCAGAACAGGTCTCAATATTTCAGCCAATTAAAACAGACATAAATGGATCGAAAACTTGGGACCTTCATTACCACTATATTTCAATCACTCATTATGGAAGCTAGCTGAGCCGATGGGAAGCCAAAATCTGATATTTTTAATATCCTGACATGTATGCATTTTTCCATACAAAATATTGACATCTTAAAATTCTACAACAAAAATAAACACCAGAAAGATTTCAGGCTGCAAAATAAAGTGTTTAAACCAGCTAGAGTAAGCAAGAATTTCAGATAACAATTAGTCAAAAGGCCAAAAACAAAAAAAAAAGAACTGCTGGAAATCTGAAACAAAAATCAGAAGATGCTGCCCTCATCCTTTCCCTCCTCTTCCTCACAAAGATGGGGGTCCCCAGTCCTCGGCTTTCACCCCGTCAGCCTCCACATCCAAGGGTGGATGTCACCATTTCTGCCACAAGACACATTCTCTTACCCTCCCTAATCAGCATTCCACCGGAACCGTGCCCTCAGACACCCTGGTCGACGACGCCTCCACTCGCCACGCTCCCAAAGCGCCTTACCATGCAATCACAGAAAGCATAACACTTGCCCATTTACTTTCTCCCTCATCACCATCCATGGGTGAACAGCTGGCAGTCATGGTACACACAGGGTGGCACAGTAGCTAGCACTGCTGCCTCACAGCGCCAGTGATATGGGTTCAATTCCTCCCTCAGGCGATTGTCTGTGTGGAGTTTGCACATTCTCCGTGTCGGTGTGTGTTTCCTCCCACAGTCCAAAGATGTGCAGGCTAGGTGGATTGGCGATGCTAAATTGCCTGTAGTGTTCAGGGATATGTAGCAAGTGACTTAGAGGAGATCGGAGAGAAAACAAAATTTCACCTAGAAGGGGAGAGAAATAAGGAACATGCTGCCTGAGCAGGTACTCATAACATTTAAGCGGCACTTGGATGAGCACTTCAAATGCCAGGGCACAGTAGGTTACAAACTAAGTGCAGGTAAACGGGATTAGTGTAGTTTGGTGTCTGTTGGTTGGCGGTTGCCACACACTAACGGTGGGCTGAGGGGCCTGTTTCTATGCTTTATGAATAATACTTTCCAGGTGAAGCAGAGATTTGTCTGCACTGCATCCACTGTTCAATATGTGGTTTCCTGTACGTAATCTGGGAGACTGATTTGCCAAATACCGACACTCTCCATTAAAATGACCCTGAACTTTCACTTGCCTGCCCTTCAGCACCCTGCCATAGTCCCATGTCAATGTTTCTATCTTGGCCTGCTACAGTGCTCCAGCATGGCTCAACACAAGCTGAAGGAACAACATCTCATCCTCTGCCTAGGTACCTTACAGCCTTCAGGACTCAACGTTGAGTTTAACAATTTCAGATGGGAACATTCTCCCCTATATTTCTTGTAGCCCATTACCATGTGCTTTATGAAAATCCAAACACACAGGAGATGTCAAAGATTTGATTTCATTCTAATTGTATAATTAAGGAAAATGAGCACCTGGAAACAAAGGATCAAAACATGCACTTTTTTATTCAAATTGAAGTCATTAAGTTATGAATTATAAGTCATGTGAATTCTTTGGTATTGCAGATTTTTATTTTGTTCCAGGATGACTTATCAGGAAAAGGAAAAAAAGTCTGGAGAAAGTACAAAAGGAGAAGCACCTAAGGAGGAGCACGGTGAGAGCAAAGCATAAATAAAGCAGGGGCAAGAAGAGCACAGGATGGTGCAGAAGCCATCTCTGGCCATGACTTGTTTAATCTTGACCAGAATACATTTCCATGTTGTCCAGTTTGAAAGCTGACCATGATATGCTAACCCCCTGGAAGGCCTCTGCAGACTTCAGGATGTAGGATGCAATGCAAATCTTTTTCCAACAACACCTCCTAAAACCATGATCTTTGCCATCTAAGTGGATAAAAACACCAGCACACCTTTTCCTAACACCCATCAACTTCCCCCTCCCTTCAAGTTGCACACGATGACTTCACCACCTATAGCTTGTTCCTTCCTCATTACACCAACATTATGCATCTTTTAGTGTTCCATTGCTCAGCATTGTGCCAACTGAATACTCACTGTTCTGGTTAAACTTGGGAGCGGTTGCTCAGAAAAAAAAAAAAAAAAAAAAAAGAGGGGAGATGGAAAAAAGTTAAGTTACTACAAAAAGAGGAGACATTTTAAAGCATTGCAACAGTAGATTTAGTTAAAGATATAACCCAGAGTATATCGCCAAATGATAACTGGCAACAGATCTTCTCACATAAAAGCACTGTGTACTTTCACCATACACTATGTAGTGCAAGAAAGGGAGCTCAACAACACTTCAAGGACAATTACTGTTGAGGTATGAGGTGGCTTTGTTAATAATGCCCAAACCCAAAAAGGGATTTTTAAAAATCTGCAATTTGTAAGCAACAATTAAATGAAAAATACAAGCCTCTTATAGAGTTTATAGCTATTTTTGCAGAATGAGTGGAACTGGACAGATTCAGAAAAGATCACATGGAAATAATAAATATGCAGACGGAGCTAGAAAGAATACCAAGAGAAGATTTGCTCTAGATCAGCGAAATGCAATTTTTCTACAGCAATCAAAATGTAAACATTAAAAAGAAAATCCCCATTTGACCTGAGGAATACCTAAAATTTGATCTTCCATTGTCTGTCATTCTGTAAGGCAAGCAACTTTGTTAGAATATCATCAGAAGGGAGGTCTTACTATGCAAATGAAAAAGTAGGTTAAAAACATATATAGCAAATAATGTGAGGACTTAAGTACTGTGGTTGAACCAGATTTAATTGAAGAATTATATCGTGATAGTGATAAAGTATTTCAACAGGGAAAAATTGCAACTTGCAATTTCTCAAAGGGGAGGGAAAATTTAGTTTGCTAATCAGTCCCTGATTAGAAGCACCCATATGTGCACAGACAATTGAGTTTTCTTGGCCCACAATTCAACTGCAGGTAGTCTTGAAGAGCTGAATGGCATTCTTCTGCTCCCATTTAGGTTCTTATATTGACACCTAAATCATGCTATTTAAAATAACCAAGTACCAACATTCTAATTTAAAGACATTAATGTGTGTTAAGAAAAACTTTGCTAATGAACTTAGGCAAATGTCACTCTGTAGCAAACAGTATAAACACTAATTTTTCAAAACTATTCCCATTCTTTAGTTTCACCAAGAACTGTTCACAGCTGAATGAGTACAATAAAATGAATGCTCATGGGGTTAATTGTTGTGCAAATTGGAGACCTAATTAGCAATGTTTCCTTAATTCTAAAAATTTCAGACAAGAATAAGGATGCTCATTTCAAAACTGACTGCAGGATTTAACCTCTACCAGAATTGTCATTTGTTGTTGCTTCACGAATATGTCACAACTCATCAATAATGCAATTTCACCTAGCCAGTAGCACTTCCGAAGACAAAGTTTTAAATTTATGGAATTACAATAGCAAATATACAGTCTGATTAATTGTACAAGTTTGAGACATTTACATAACCTGTTTTAGTATTAAGTGCTTCATCTCCTTTGTACCACCCTCCACCACCAAAACAAAAAGGATAACAAAAACCAGACAGATTATTTTGCCAATTTTTCTCAACAGTGACTGCATTTCAGAAGTTCTAATTGGCAGACATTGCGCTGTCTTGAGATTGGAACAAGAGCAAGTCTGTATCTTTGTGTGCCTAACTGCATATTCAATAGCTGAACAAATCAAAAAGATATACATTCAACCGGTGTACCAATAAATTGATAGATTCAATTACACCAGTGATTGAAAATCAGCGTACTGGAGGCATTTTGGATGTTCAAGTTAAGCAAACATGTCTATAGGGCAAATTACCCATTTCAGGAACATGTTTACTTGCAAAAGGTAAACTCTGTACACACTGGAAAACTATAAAGAAAAATAACAGAAAAACTAGAGATTATCAAGAAGCATCAGAACACCCGATGAAGATAATTGACCAAGACATGAACACTATTTCTTGATCCACAGACATTCATGGATCTGTTGACTATTTCTAGTGGTCTGTCTTTTATTAGTTGATAAGGAGGTGCCAGTGTTGGATTGGGGTGGATAAAGCCAGAAGTCTCATGTCACCAGGTTACAGTCCAACAGGTTTATTTAAAATCACAATGTTTTGGAGTGCTGCTTCTTCATCAGGTCATTTCACCTGACGAAGGAGCAGCGCTCCGAAACCTTGTGATTTTAAATAATCTATTGGACTGCAACAGTGTCATGTGACTTGACTTTATCAGAGGATATAGGCATTTATGTATGTCCAAAGTTAATGTGCATTTTTAATTTAAAATAGATACAAATGGGAAAATATGTGGCACAGAAGCCGTGTTAGAATTGATGTCTTGAACTTGCACGAGGAGATGCTTTTGTTATCAGGCTAGAATGAAGTTCAAGTACCACAAGTAAAATCATTTATCAGAATTCATCATTTTTCTGGGAAATAGGTTCCTAGGGAATTAATTCCACAAACTATTTTCCAGAATTTGATTTCTCACAGTCGAGAAATATTTGGACATTGATAAATTGGTCAAATTCCACAAGAATTCCATTTGTGTAATAGAAGCTGCTGCATGTAACTGAGCCGTTTCAATTCAAATGGTTCTCATTCAAAAAACTGAAGATGCGCATCCTTAATTACACAAACATCTGAATATTTGCTCAATGTGTTTTCACAACATTATTTGCATTCAAATGTAAAAAGCCACCATCTCACGGAAGCAATTTGCCAAAATGAAATTTCAAGGAAGCGTCATTAATAAAGTAATGATGCATCTATGCATTTTGCAAGACCACTAAATGTACACTTCACAATGTTTACTCAAAAAAATGGTAAAACGTACCATCACAGGTGAATGTGACTGGTTCCTGAAACTCTTCAATCTCTATGGAGACCTTCACACTAGCATTTTCTCCATTCATATCACGATGAAGCATAACAGGACTCAAAACATAACCTGGATTTGTGGAGTGGTCACTATATGGAAATGTGGATCGTAGTCTACAAATGGGAGGGGGGGGGGGGAATAAAATCAAAAGAAATTCAACTTCAAACATCTGACATTAATTTGGAGTCCAATATTTTACTGTTCTTTCTGAACCAAATTTAATGCTTGAACACATGTCTGCAGTAAAGATTGGATAGCAACAGAAAACACTAATGTTGGGCACAGTACTGGAATATTTACACAAGATCATTCACAATGCACAAATCAAGTTTTTTGTAAATTGCTGGCCCAGCCTGTCATGTCCGTGCCCCATGAGTGAATAAACAAAGCATATTGCAGAAGTAATGCCGTAGACAAGAGTAATTTCAAATATTCTTTCCTCGTAAAATTGCAGAATCAGTTAGCATCCACACACCAAAAAAGGTCAATTAATCTTGCTCAGGATGACAGACATGCTAAGTTATTGAAATCCCACATTCTTAGATCTTATGCTTGCATTTGTCAGGAGTTTCAAATGTGAGGAATTCAGTGGATGTGCTTAACTCATCTTCACAAGCCTGGACAGCAGTGAAGCAGAAGCCTTATCCTTGTTTCTCTTTAGAAACATCACATTTGGGGAATTCATGCAATTACATATGAACTCAACTTTGAATGTCAAACAAATCATATTTATTAGAATGAATTAAAGTAGCAAATGGAAAGTTGGTCATTCTTACTTAATGAGTTCTTGCCAAAAAGCTGCCACCTCCTCATTTTGTGAATAAATTTGTTCCGGAATATTTTCACCTTTAAGATAATTACTGGTCCCATTGTTAACCTGTAATGAAACCAGAAGGCTCTAAAGCAAAACTGTCATTGCAATACATTAAACAAATTAACCATAATGCACAGCAAGAACCAACACAACAAACCTAGTTGATTTTCTCCATACAAAGTTTAGGTTCTTAAAATGAGCTAAGTAGGTCATTTAACTGTTAAAATTACCTCAATACCCAAAAGCTGTTGCACTATAATATTACTGTGGTTCTGTCAAAAAGCCAGAATATTTAATATATTATGATTGCGTATCTAATTTTCAACCACTGAATTAGAGCCAACAATTTTAAACCAAGGTTGACTCTGGAATGCCGTAAACACATTAAGCATGGTGCATAGCACGAATGTTGTAGATAAATATGGATACGAAATACACATGCAAAAAGCAGCTAATTTTTTCCATACAAACCCTGCTGAAAAAAAGATTCCAAAAATGTTCTTAAAAACATGATATACCAAAAAGATTTTTTGGAATTTGCAATCAAGTTGAACATGGAAATGAATTGTAAAGATGCTCCCCTAATGATTCAATTCATGTTAATTTGGATACATATTTCAAGAAAGATTATTAAACCTTTTTCATGTGTGCATAATTTTTAAGTTAATTCCAATTCATCTCACTAACTTCTACAAAGGAACAGGCAGTGTAAAGAATATAATAACTGTGTCATTATTGTGCTTCACTATCTGTCATGAGTGCCTTGCCAGTGAACAAAATGAGGTGACCCAATTACTCAATTTGCAGAACATTCCTCTAGTGTGCAGTCACAGCATTCTAAGGGGAAAATGACATCGTACAAAAGAAAAGCACAAATTAGGAACCAAACTAAAAAGGTTTAGATTTTTCCCATGAGAAAACCAAGTTATGCTTGCATACTAAGAAAGTAGATCAATATGCTTAACATCACATTTCAAAACCACGGGAGATTCTCCCCCCCTACTTGAATGCTATTGAGTTTGGTCTTCTTGAAACACAAACAACATACAACTTGGCTACATGCGGCATGCAGTTTGTGAGGCAATCTAATTAAACTAACTTTAAAATAGTGCCATGAATTGCATTTCAAGTATTAAAATGCGCATACATTGTATTCTACTCCCATTCTGCAAAACTCACTTCAGGAAAATACTCAATGACAAATATCCTACGCTTCTTAAACTGAAGGTCACAAAACTCAGCTACCTGAATCTCAACCGTCCCTTTCTCAGCCGTTCCCAAGCTCCTTGGCCTATTAGGGACTCCTAGTCAAACATTTTCAATTTTTTCCCCCCAAAACGGACAAGAAGTTTAACATTTTTCCCATGGGGTTTGGGTGTCAATGTTGATGCTAGCATTTGTTGCCATACCAGATTTCCTTCGAACTTTCTGCTTGCTAGACCCTTTCAGGAGCCAATTAAGTGTCAACCATAAGACCATAAAGATACAGGAGCAGAATTAGGCCATTCGGCTTACAGAGTCTGCTCTTCCACTCGAATCATGGTTGATATGTTTCTTAACCCCATTCAGCTACCTTCTCGCTGTAACCTAGCATGTCCTTATCAATCAAGATCTTCTTGGTCTTAAAAGACATTCAATAACTTGGTCTCCACAGCTTTGTGGCAATGAGTTCCACAGATTCACTACCCTCTGGCTGAAGAAATGCCTCATCTCAGTTCTAAAAAGGGTCATCCGATCAGAGGCTGTGCCCTCAAGTCCTAGTCTCTCCTATTAGTGGAAACATCTCCATGTCCACTGTATCCAGGCCTGTCAGCATTCTGTAAGTTTCAATGAGATCACCCCTCATCCTTCTAAATTCCATTGAGGACAGGCCCAGAGTCCTTAACTACCTTGATCTCCAGGATCATTCTTGTAAACCTCCTCCGAATCCCCTCAAGGCCAGCACATCCTTCCTTAGATATGGGGCCCAAAACTACACTAAATAGTCCACTTGCAGATGGGCCAGATCCTTATACAACGTCAACAGTATATCCCTATTCTTGTATTCTAACTCCTTGAAACGAATGCTACCACTGCATTTGCCTTCCTAACTGCAGACTCCCAAGTCCCTTAGTGCTTCAGATTTCCAACATCGTCCCCCATTTAGAAAATATTCTACCCCGCTATTCTTCTTTGCAAAATGCATAACCTCATACTTCCCCAGGTTGTATTCTGACTGCCATGTCTTAGCCCACTCTGCTGCACTTCCTGAACATTGCCCGGTCTCTCCACCTATGTTTGTCATCTATAAACTTCGTCCAGATTGTTAATGAATAACATCAATAATTGTTGTCCTAACACTGAGCCCTGTGGAATTCCATTAGTCACCAGCTGCCAACCTGAAAAAGATCCATTTATCCTCATTCTCTAACTTTGACCAATCAGCCAATCCTCATTCCATGCCAGTACCTTGCTCTTAACACCATGGGCTTTTATCTTATTTAACATTAATGTGGATCTGGAATTACATGCAGGCCACACCAGGTAAGGATGGCAGATTTTCCTTTCCTAAACCGTATTAGTGAACCAGATGTGTTTTCCATACTCAATTTGTTTAAAGTTACAGATTAAATCAAATTTAAATTCACCACCTGCTTTTGGGGACATGAACCCATGCCCCAAGAGAGCCTGAACCTGGATCTCTGGGTTAATATTATCCGTTGTAGTAACATCGATGTCACTAGCTCTGTCAACATTTTAGAAACCCCTACACAGTCTTGCCCTTTATAATCTTGAATGTCTTCTTGCCCCACAACTTACCACTTCATCTGCAATTCTAATTCTGGTCTCTTAAGCATCCCCAACTTCAAGTATTTACCAATGGTACCTATGCCTCCAGCTGCCAAGACCACCAGCTCTGGAATTCCCTTTCTAGACCTGTGTTCTTTTAAGACACTCTTTATAAACTTACCACTTCGACCAAGTTTCTGGTCATTTGCCCCACTAACTCCTTACATAATCACATGCCTTTGGTGTAACCCTTTGTTTTAAATGATGCACCATGGGAAGTTTCATTCCATTAAAAGTCTCTACATAAATACAAGTTGTTTTTGAAGTATGTACAAACAAACACCGTACAAACTAGACTTTTAACACTTCATCTCTAAAACATTCAGTGATAACTGCTGACATTGGTGCTACAAATACAGCCAGTAGGGAGACTTCAATACATTACACCACAGTTAAGGAAGCATTGTATATTTCTATTGTTAAAAAAAAATCAAATGAATAACAGGTTTGAAATTGAAACCACTGTTGGCCAAAAAAAGTTTTAGAAAAAAACTCAGTACAACAAATGAAATTACAGAAATGTTATCGTGCAGAAAGTGACCATTTGACTAATTGTCTTTGTGCCAGTTCCTTGCAAGAGCAATTTACCTTGTGTGAACCTTCAAACGTGCAAATCAATTCTCCTCTGGTAATAACCAAAATTATCTTTTGAAATCTTTCCGAGTCTGCCTCCATCACATTCTTAGGTAGTATATTCCAAATGCTAACCATTGGTTGTGCAAGAGGCTCTTCTTTAAGTCACTGCTGAAGCAGCAGTCAATCACCTTAAATTCAGACTTCTCTGCTTCTTGATCATTCCACTGATGGGAATAGTTTCTCCCCATCCACTCTGTTCAGCATTCTGGATTTTGAGCATCCAGTAAAACTCCTTCCCTGCCCCAAGGAAAAACAGATAAATTGGAGAAATTGGTCTACATAATTGAAGTCTCTCTCATTCTCTCTTCTTGCTCTTATTTGCTTTTTCAAGGGCCCTCTGAACCTTCTGTAAATCAGTCTGATTTTCAATTTTTTTGTGCATTTGAGATCTGAAATAAATTCACCCTCTCTCATTAACCAAGGTGTTCTACGTTTGTCTGTCCTACCTTTCTCAATGGAATATACCTGAACGGTACCTAATTACCTTTTCTTTGCAAGGCAGTGATTGATTGGCAGACATAACTGTAGCTAATCATTGAATCTGACCCAGACTATTCTCATCCCATTTAGGTTTACTTGGCCTGATTAGTAGTTATCCTTACTATGGGAACAGACAAAGAGCTATTTCGAGTATAATTGCCTGTCGAGATTGGCTGCGATCAAGGTCCCCTACAGACACTTGATCTATTTGGTCTACCCCATCCCACAGAATCAAAAGTGTCTTGATCACTGGACTAGAAATGCACTTCAGCTGCAAAAGTCAAAAAGCTTGATGCCAAGGACAAAATAGACCATTCAACTGACACCACATCCACAAACATTCACTCCATCCACCACTAGAGCTCAGTAGCAGCAATGGAAGATACACTAATGAAATTCAACAGAGGCTCCTTTGGGAGCACATTCCAAAGACATCAACCCTGCTGTCTAGAAGGACAGCGAATGGAGATACATAGAAACACTACTAACAAAAAGTTTGTTGTTGGAGCTACAGTCATCCAGGCAAGAAGGGAGTATTTCATCATACTCCTTGTAAATGGCAGACAGGGTGGGTGATTCAGAAGGTAAGTTACTTGCTAAGGGATTCCTAGCCTCTGACCTGGTCAAATGGTAACCCAAGGATGTTGATAAATGGGGGAATTCAGTGATGGTAATGCCATGTGAATGTCAAGGGACAATAGTTATATTCACTTGCTGGAGATGGTCATTACCTGGTTATGTATCACTTGCCATTCACTATCCAAACTTGGAAAAATATTCTTGTTCCTTCACTGTTGCTGGGTCAAAACCCTGAACACTCTCACTGAAAGCACGTGCTTGTGCCAAATGGGTTGCAGTGATTCAGGAAGGTTCCTCACCACCACCAAGAGCAGCTAGGGACTGGCAATAAATGCTGGCCCAGGCAGAAATACCCATACACCCTTAAGTAGTAAAAAAAAAAAAGAGCTTTTTTGAAGGACTTCAGATCTTTAAAAGTGGAGAGGGAAATCTGTCTGTCCAGCAATTGTTCAGCTGTTGACTGAGGTTAATTGATTAAATGACTGTGTAAATAGAAAAATGGGGAAAACGGGCCAGCATCTTCTGTGACTAAAGTGATTTAAGGCACGGAGTTGAAATTCTGATCTCTCCAGGGTGCATATCCTGGGCTAAGAGACTTGGGTTCAAGTCCAATCTGCCCTGGAGATGTGTCATAACATATTAAATGGGCAACAGAAGGGTCTTGTGGCACAGTGGTAGTGTGCCTACATCTAGGCCAAAGGTTCAGGTTAAAATCCCAGCTCAGGTTAAAATCCCAGCTCAGGTTATGATGGCTCATTACATGCACAAACATTTTGTTTTAAAAAAAAAAAGGAACAGATGGCACTGAAATGTGCAGTATGATCTGTGGACACTCAGCCAATAATCTATCACAAGAAAATGGGATCTTGAGATCTAGTTCTCCAACAGGCAGTGGCGGTGATAAAATGTCATTAGACAAGTAAGCCAGAAACCAGGCCAACAATTCTGGGGTAACAAGGTGTAGAGCTGGATGAACACAGCAGGCCAAGCAGCAGAGGAGCAGGAAGGCTGAAGTTTCGGGCCTAGACCCTTCTTCAGAAATCAACAATTCTGGGGACATGGATTTGAATCCCATCATGGGAGATTTTCAATTCAACAAAAATTTGGAATTAAAATAACCCATCTGCTTCACTAATGCCCTTGAGAGAAGGAAATCTGCTGTGTTCGTCTGGTGTGGTCTACGTATGACACCAAACCCATAGCAATCTGATTGACTGTTAACTGTCCTCTGTGCAATTATGATCAACAATAAATGCTGCCCTAGCCAATAAAACCCTCAAGCCCATTTCTCACCCAATTATGTCCAGTTGCTGATGGCCAATGCTCCCAAAATTACTAACACTGCTCTACTCCCAACTTACATCCTAGTCTCACTATCCCCTCAAATCAGAAAAAGGTTCAATTGCACAGACTGAACCTCCCTCTACTGGTTCTCAAACAGACACTGGATGCTTGAAGTGGTCAGAGCAGCTGATTTACAACCCCAAGTTAGCTTAACTGCCCATCTTCTCAGCTGTCAGAAAAGGATGCATGATCTACAAAAGTTTTCAATTAGCAGAGAATAGATCGGTTCCAAAACTTAAGTGTAGTTTTACCAGGAGTTAAAAATAGATTGGCTCTTCCTCCGACAAGTCAAATGCAGCCTTGATTGTTTAACTAATAGCAAGGGTTTATATTGGAGACAAAGTGATTGATGTCAAATCACCATATTAGAACATTCAATTTTTGGGAATTTGACTTCTATAACCTTCAGCGGTTATAATGAAACAGTTAACATTCCAGTCAGAATACTCAATACTTGCAGCAAAACTCATTCTTCATGAAAGGAAACTGGCCTTGCTTCAAATGGTTGCAGTTCCTCATTTCCTATTAAAGCCTCAAAATTTCCTGTTTTCAGCACAAAAGCTGCTGAATATAATAAAACAGTTTCTCTATAATGCATGTCTGCCTAACAGTTGTACAGTATCTCAGGTCAGAAAACAGCATTCCCGGCAACTATTTGGGAAAGAACAGTCAACTTCTACTATTCACATGCTGCAGATCTTCAAATACACTGAACTGTTATAGGAAATAGCCTCATTCCGACATGTGCAGTCTTAAAAAATAAATCACTTGTTTTTTCAAAAAGTTTCTTCCTTCCTCTGGACTCTTCAGGAAGCATGTCATGTCCCTAGACCTCTAACAGTGAGCAAACATTGCTGGGAGTGACAAAGAAATAACCTAGAACAAATCCTCTTCAGTTTCCCTAATTATATAGATGTTTTGAACTGGGGAAGGTGGGAAAGGATAGATGTGCCTGTTCACTGTTTAGAATAAGAAAAGAAAATTGATGTGAAGTGGTCTCCTACGATGGTGCGAATATTACACGTTTATTAAAACTGAGCACAAGGGCACAAACTGGCAAATTTGTCTAAGAAACTAGGTTTCAACAGTCCATCTAATGCTAGTTGCTCTCACAATAATGAGATGAATAGGCTATTGAACCAAATAATATTTACATTGGAAAACACATTAACTCTTACTAATAGGATCTCATTTTTAGAAGGTTAAGCATTAACAGTTTTTAAAAAGCAAATTTGTAGTTTTACCAGGAGTTAAAAATAGACTGGCTCTTCCTCCGACAAGTCAAATGCAGCCTTGATTGTTTAACTAATAGCAAGGGTTTATATTGGAGACACAGTGATTGATGTCAAATCACCATATTAGAACATTCAATTTTTGGGAATTTGACTTCTATAACCTTCAGTGGTTATAATGAAACACAGTTAACATTCCAGTCAGAATACTCAATACTTGCAGCAAAATTCATTTTTCATGAAAGGAAACTGGCCTTGCTTCAAATGGTTGCACTTCCTCATTTCCTACTAATTTCAAATTACATTTCCAAATGCTGGATGTCTACCTAAATTATGGTCATTGCAAAGCAGGCTGCCTGCACCATGCCAACTATGTTGCAGAAAAATACATGGAGAGAAGAGGATATTTCCCCCCCATTCATGGGATACGGGTGTGCTGCCTGGGCCAACATTTATCGCCCATCCTTTATCATCCTTGAGTGGCTTGCTAGGCCATTTAAAGAACCAAACATTACAGACAGACTGGAGTCACACATAGGTCAGACCAGGCAAGATAACAGTTATCCTTCGATGAAGGACATTCAAAAAGTGAACAAGATGGGTTTTTAAAATTCTACTTGACACTTAAAATGTTCAATTCCAAATTTTTTAGTAAATTCAAACATTGCCATTTTCAATCATGTGATTTGAACCCTTATCACCAGAACATTATCCTAGATCTTTGACTTACTAATCTAGTGACTCTACCATCACCCATGAGGAGGGGTGGTGGTAACTAGACCAGTTTAGGATATCTGGTTGGCATGGGTGAGTTGGACCAAATGGCTGGTTTCCATGCAGTATAACTATATGACGCTACAACTGATCTCACCTGCCATAAAATCAAGCGTAAACTACCATTTAAGTCAAGATTAATCAGCTGTTGAGTGACACATTAGACAATAATTATCTGACTTCGATCCTATTACATCATATGGAGCACTATTAAATTGAAGTATTACTCATCAAAACTGTAGTGTGAAAAACAGGGACCTAATAGATCTGAACAATTCACAGAAGAGGAGACATGACTAAACCTAGAATAATGTTAACTCACCTGCATATCTGGTAATGAAGGCATTATGCACGAGGATTTACATTTTAAGAAAAGAAAATCCTATTCTGCAATTTATACGCAAGTGCAAAAAAAAAAAGGCCAAGAAAAACCAAAAGGTGAAAGATTCCAATGCATTTCTCAAATTTCAAAAGCAAGAATGACTGAAGAGATGGCAATGGGTATCAATGAGAGTAATTACGTTGTCTGGAAAGTCTCAGATCTTATTTTGAATACAACACATACTGCAAAGTAAAGCAGTCAGAAGCAAAAATAAAAAAAAGGCCGACCAGAGACTTTTCTTTCAGAAATAGGAGGTAGTCGAGTGGATGCTGACATTGTGCTATGCCTACTAACCTGGTTGTGATCAATTTTGATGGTAGAATGGACAAATAAATAAGAAAAGGTTAACAGCTATCAATGTATTAAGTTTGAAAAAGCTAGAAAAAAAGCACTTAGATTTCACATCTCAGCTCTGCAAGCAGCACTGTGGACAATTCACAACATATTTAACATCTCAAAGTACTAAGGAATTAAAAATCTTCATTGAACTGTACATTGTTATGGTGGGGTTTACTTCAGTGTCACCCCAAGAGGGAAAAATAAAACAGCTGGTTGCTGCTCTGGAATGTTAAAAATGGTAATGAAAGGAAATTAGACACTTTGGATCAACCGTGGAAAAACTGAATATAAAAACCAATTTAGTTGCCTGGAACAATATTCCAAGTACATTTTTCATGGTGCTTTCCTGAGCAGTCTGAAGTTAACTTGAGTGTCTTTAACAAAACAGGAAATGTGCCCTTGTGGAACAAGAACTCGTTTGTTTAAAGGAATGTTTGTCGACTACAATGTTTGTACCATTAGTCAGGAAATGCTGGGACCATTTCTCAATTTCATCTCTAGTTTAGTCACATTAGAAGATGCAAAAGGTCATACAAAGAGTGCAAACCTATCCTTTCAGTGTTTCTGCTTCTACCAAGCAATGCAAACCTCATTATCTTGATAGAAATATTTCACCAGCAATCTCCTGGTTAAAATCAGGCAGTAAATCCAGTAATAGGATAATTGTGAATGCTCAAGTCAGAAACAACTTTTTACAACATTGAGATAACAGTGCGGAGCTGGAGGAACACAGCAGGCCAGGCAGCATCAGAGAAGCAGGAAAGCTGACATTTCGGGTCCTGACCCAAAACATCAGCTTTCCTGCTCCTCTGATG